TTAATGAGTACCTTAGCAAAAAATCATCCTGATTTTGGCAGTCTTAGAAATAGCAGTGACATTGACCTTGCAATAGAGATTCTCACGAATAGTATTCTGGCTGCTTACAATAATAATACGAAATCATTCCCGACTGATAAGAACGCAGGAAGGCTCCCAAGGTATATTCGTGATCAGATCAAAGAGAGAAATAAGCTCAGAAAGAGATGGTACATTGCCTGGGACCCAAATATCAAAAGAGAACTCAATAAGCTTAACAGAACTATTAAAGATAACATTTATAAGTTTAGGGATGAAAAATGGAATGACAAAGTTGCCAGCTTTAACGAGCCAAACAATGCTTTTTGGTCGTTTGCCAGAAATCTGAAAACGAGGCGTACAGTGAATAAGCCCGTTTACGGATAAAATAAAATAGCTGTACTAATTCAGAAGTCAAACAACAAAAATCAGCGTTATATTTACAAAATTTTGTAAATATAACGCTGATTTTTGTTGTTTGACTTCTGAATTAGTATTTATTCGGCGTGTTATTGTGTCTTAATTAAAATAGCTGTGACAAATAAGGACAAAGTCAATATAATGACAGAGCATCTTGAAAAACAGCTCATGCCAAACATGGACCCCTGCGACATCACATTTTTTTTATGATATAAGATACTTCATACACGACTGGATTAATAGTCACAGCCCAAGAAGTAAACCTGATTTCACTACTCCTGGCGAAGTGAAGGATATTATAAAGAAATTAAAAAATAGAAAACACCTGGTTATGATGCTATTACGAATATCGCGATCAAAAATCTACCTTTGTGTATTGTTACGAAATACACCAGTATCCTAAATGCGTGCATTATGAACTACTACTTTCCCAGAAAATGGAAAGTTGCTAAAGTCATATTACTACCTAAACCAGGTAAAGACATCACCAAACCCGAGGACTTTAGACCAATTAGCCTCTTGCCAGGTTTAGAAAAAATCTATGAGAGAATTATATTAAGAAGAATGAATCCCTACTTGGCCAAACTGCCGCCCGAACAGTTCGGGTTTAGAAAATCACTATCTACTACCAAGCAACTTGTCCGTCTGAATGAATTCATTGGATCGGCTCCTCATAATCACCAAAAGGTCGCCTTACTCATGCTAGACGTGGCGAAAGCCTTCGACCGCGTCTGGCGGTCTGAGGGGCTTATTTTTAAATTAATCTGCTTGGATTTCAACAAGGACTTAATCTTAGTTATCTACTCGTTTATCAAGAATCGGAAACATAAATGATAAATCCCCGCAGAAGAGACTCAATGCAGGTGTAGCACAGGGGTCTATTTTAGGCCCAATTTTGTATATATTTTAGGTGGCGTACTTTCCGCGTGTTTTCACGGACTTAAATGGATTCGTAGGAAGCTACGCCGATGATACGGCGCTGGCAGTTAAGTCACTTAGCGTCGATAATGCAATCAATAAACTACGGATCATTACACCCCAGATAGAACACTGGTGCACAGTGTGGAGAATTTCTATCAACGCACAGAAATCACAGCTACTCGTCATACAGAAAAAAGGACAAAAGAACTCCTGTCTCTGCAAGACTCAAGCTCTTTAATGTCGAAGTTCCCATAGTTCAGAAGGCCAACTACTTAGGCGTCACTCTCAATAGCAAGTTCACTTGGAGTGATCACATAAATAAAGTACGAGGCAAAGCCCTTCTCCACTATGAAAAATCTATTTCCGCTTATAAGGAAAATTTTCTAAACTAGATCTTCTAAGGAAAAGGCATGTTTACACAGCCATTATAAGGCCTATTATTACCTATGCCTCGCCTGCCTGGGCAGCGGTCACTAATAAAGATCTAAATAAACTTCAGATCATACAAAATAAGTACTTACGGCTTATTACTCAAGCTCACTTCTATGTATCCAACGACACTCTGCATAATGATTTAAAAGTTGAGCGTATAGAGGAGTTCATCCATCGTATGAACAAAAAGTTCTTTACAAAGGCCAAACTCTGCTCCCATTTAAGTGGTTTTAATACATTCGACTATATTATTTTACCTGAGGATGCAAATATTAGACCTTACGCGGCCCACCTCACCCGTGACTCAAATTTTCCAACTTAATTGCACTTTTGTATATATGTGTAAATAGTTTGTATTTTTCACATTTATCCTTGACTTCTAATTTTACTGTATTGATTTATTCTTAGTAAACAAAAAGTTTGTATACCTATATTTTATTCTTATGTACGTTTTTGATAACATCAGTCAGATTACCTTACTCTTGCCAAGCCTATACTGGTTTTCGGTCTCATGTTTTGTTTTCTATAACCTTTTGGTGCATTTTCACCCCCCTCTTCACCTTAGACCTCCTCTTACCCGTCTGACTGTTACGTCATGTGCCCATACGACAGAATTATCAATGAGACGGCAACATCGCACATATTAACGATAGCCCGGCAATACATGTATTGATTGATTGATTGATTTCGTAGCGTGCCTTCGTGGTGTAGTAGTTCTGCACGCTGGGCCAGAGGTCCGTGGTTCGATTCCCGGCGAAGGCAGTTGGTAATTTTTCATCTCTCCAGCTTCCAAAAAATATCCTAATGTCTCTACAAAACGTAAGCTAAAATGATTGTTTCTTCAATAACGAGGTATTTTATTTAGTGCCTAACTGAAATTATGTATTGGACTCTCCACATGTTTTATTATGCGGGGGATGGGGGGATCAAATGCGCATGCGTAAAATATACAAAATAAATATATAAATAAAAAAGTAGTTGGTGCCTTTGAGGTCAGGATTTTAGATCATTCCGGATATTGGACGTCCGGATCTCGGACTTTTTACTGTATTGTTATTAAAATGCTGATTGGCTAAATGCAATTTAGAAGATGAGAAAATCCATAGTCTTCCCAGAAGTATATAGAGTGCAGATAGAGAAGCAGCTGCACCAATTTGAGATAGCTCCCCATTGAAAATAAGCATGTTTAATAAGGAATCTAAAATTCAAACTTGAAGACCTGGGCATAAGGACTTTCAACAAAACTTTCTTTATTGTAATTTTCACAAACTTAACATGTAACTGAAAATTACTTCAGTACTTTTCACTTTATTTTCACTCATATTAAGGCATAAAAACATTCTAAGTACCAAACAGAATTCCTCCACAAAATTAATTCTGTCATATTAAAATAAATATTTAGTAATTTATCACTTCAAATGTCAAATGTTTTAATTTACTATTTTTTGCAGAATAAAATATAGATCAATGAGTGTCTTAGAAGCAACAAATGGTGGATATTATTATTTAGAATGAAAAACAAATTTATAAGTCCAAAACGTTTAGATTTTTTTTTAAGGCATAGTATTTTTGTGTGAATGCAGAATGGATCTTACATGTCACTCTAAAAACAAGTTTTGCCAGTTTAAAACTTCAAAATTATTAACTGCATATATGTGATGTATCAAGATGATATGGAATGGAAAGTTTTTTTTTTTTAATTGGTTCATTGATTGGTAACAAAAGTACTTACAAATATATCAATTCAAGGCAGGTAGGTAGATTGTATGTAATATATTAGAGAAAAACACCCAGATGCTGCTTTAAAAGGAATGTCTTCAAAGAGCACTTTCTAACAGAAAGTGGCTTATGTTGACGTTTGCTTGTTCAACCACTGAAATTGAACTTGGAATGAACTATGAGTGTTGAATGCTTTTATCCACTTGGCTACTGGTGGGCCATTTAAAAAGAAGTAGTAGTAGAAGTAGGTTAGGCAGCTTACTCTTTTTTTCCGGGAGAAAAATTAACTTTTTCTTATAAATGCTAAAATATAAAAATAAAAATTACTACTAATACTGAAAAGATCTTGGCCTCAAATGTTCAAAAATCTACTTTTGCTTTCTTTAAATTCACACTTTAAATACATCTTTAAAGCTATTTTGTATAATATTTTTAGAATTAAATGCATTTCAGATAAAAACAAAATTTTGACACTATCATTAAATTCAGAAAATCACAAAATTTTATTTTAGGTTTCAGGTTTCATTGCAGTAGTTCTTGGTTCACTTTTCAATAAATTTAATTATATGTATTAGTTCTGTCAATTTGTAGCTCTAACGTTTACACTTAATGATACTTCACTGTAAGTTATTTCCTGAATGAAGGGGAATTATTGCTAACTAATACAAGTACAGATTAAAGTTCAACAAATTTTCATTTGATCATTCTTGGTGGCTTACAACTAAAGAGAGAATGCAAAAACTAAAGGATTAGGTAACAATCAGGCAACCTTCCTTGAAATGCATAAAAAATTAAATCTCTTTAAACAAGAAATTTGGCTTTTTATCCTTAGCTAAATCACTACAGAAGAGATTCACTTACCAACCTAGGATGGCAGTGACAAAAAGATTTAATTCATTCAAGTATTCTATATCATTAATATGAAATAATGTATACTTCTATAAATGAAGCAAATAGACAAGAAAGTCCTCTTTTTTAATAGTTCTCCTAAATGGGGCAGGCAGTAATCTGATTTATCTAAAAACAATGAAGTGCATTATTTTTTCAATCATGCTGTTGAGCTATGCAAATTGTGATTATTGGTTATACTTAAGAGTTTAAATGATGAAAGCTATTTATTATATTACATGAAAAAGTGCTGAAAGTTCCTGGTTTTTCCTCAGATGTCTTAAGGAATTGGCTGGGCGTCTGTATTAAATGACTTTTTTAAAATATAAATAATATATTAGTTTCTCTCATGTAAGGAAAGAATACCTGTTTATAGTAAATAACCCTGTATTTCTTCAAAGTTACCTTCCATCTTTCCTTCAAAATTACTTTCCAATTTTACCTTCCATCTGACTTTCTTTTATCATAAAAAACATACTTTGGCAACTTAAACTGTTAATTAAAAAGTCAGTCCCCCCCCCAAAAAAAAAGGAAGAAAGAGAAAGGGTGTTAAAAGTGCATCATGGCAAACAGTGGGCAAAAAATAGAGGCAAGAGACATACCAGTTTTGCAGACTTTAATTGTGATTTCCTAATTGGCCTAGAAAAGTAATGTGCCAAATGGACATCTGTTAAACCATCATATGAACCTAAAGGTCTAAAAGAAAGAAAAAATGAGAACTAATGGGAAAATATCAAAGGTTTAGATTTTTAAATTGCATGTGACTCTTCACTGATGGAAGGAAAATTACACTATGGTTAATATTAATATTTTTAATAACAAATTCATGATAAACATTTGGTAAGTGAACTGTTGAAGACAAAGAAGTGGAAATGTATACTGTATTCCTTCAAACTTAAGAAGCATCTTTTTTCCCCCATATAAACCTTATTAAAAATGCTAAGTTTTTTGCTGCTGGTGCAAGCATAATGGCTTCTAACTTTTATCAACTATTGTAACCACCCCAGCTCTGACTCTGGCCCGAGTTCACCAAAGAACTGATGTGTCTTGGAATTGCAGATATGCCCAAGTTACTAATTATTCTAAAATAATAATTTATTCTAAATTACTGATTTATATATGAATACTATGCCTGTTAATAAATCCAAGTAAATTTTTAAAATATTTATTAGATATAGTTTAGCATTTGATTTTATTAAATTTACTTCTATAAATCAAAATCTTTTTCTTTGTTGGTGGGGTTAAGACTAACGGTTAAGTTTTAGAATCAAAGAAATTCTGTATGCCAGTGGAAATTTTGACTTTTAACAAATTCAGATTTAAAATGATGGGGCTTTATGTTTTACTCACATATATTAGTTATTATGCTGGAAGAGTTCAAACATATCATTAAGCACTGATGACATGGTTTTCAATACAAAAAGCATATAAGGATGTCATTTTGCCACTTAATTTGAATGCAATTTTGAAATTTTTGAACTTAGATGTATAGCAGATCAGTATAGAACATTAACTGTACCTCAGTAGCTTCACAGGATAAAAATTAAAATGATTAAAAACTTTTGAATATTTATTACTAATGACAAAAGATTAGCAAACATGTAACAATTACTTTAAAATGTGACTCAACTGAAAAATAACTAGTACTTTGGTATCACCACAACCACCATGGTAGAAATCACCAAATTGAGGCAACCATGCGCATGACATTCTTTAGGTAATCATAATGATAACTGTGAGTTTGAATAAGCAATGCTGCCATTTTCATACATCCTCTTTTGGTTGCAGTAGAAGCTATAAAGGCAAACTGCAGTATTTTTGGCCTTCAGCAAAATTTTGAAATATGTGCTTGAGGGATTTGCCTGCAAGCAAAAACAGTTCTGTGAATTTTTGCAGGAACATATTATTTTGCCACAAAGGTGGAAAATTTCATTATTTAAAAGTAACTGGTATAAAGAAATGAAATTTCTTTTGTAAATGCTGGTTGTAAAACTTTCTCTTGATGATACGTTGAGTTGATTTTAACATTTTTTTCTTACTTTTATTTTCAATTTCCCATGGTAAGAGAATCCTTTAATAATCATAAACCTTTTACGTAAACTTTATTTGTATTGTTGGAACAAGGTTTATACATTTTTCTTCCCTTCATTTGCAATAATGAATAGAAAATTTTTTATTGCTGTCATACATAAAGCCATGCTTCATCCAGGTCACAATGTATTCCCATTTATCTCCTGCTGACGAGTTTTCATGCAAGGTTCTACAAATTGTATTGTGTTGAGCCAAGTGCCTCAGTAAAAGACAGCAAACATCATGTTTTCTAGCTTTTTTAAGTTGTAAATCTTGGTTTATTACTATATTTATTGTTGCTAAAGATATATATAAGATCTTGCAAATGATTTCTGCATTGGTGGATTTTCTCTTGTTAACTTTAGAAACAGTACATATTTTGGGGGGGGGGGTTATTTGGAGTCTTCTTTCAATGTAGAAGTAACGACTGATTTTTTTCCACTTTCCAGTCAATAATGCTGCTCATTTTGCACTTCAAAATTTCAATAGCCTGCATTTCACAATGTTTTTGAATTATAAAACAGGAATATTTCTCTTTAAAAAGTGTAAAAACATATCAATGAATTCACAACTCATTTGCATGCAATATTTTGAAAGAAGAATATATTTAAAAGTAGCAGACAATATTTCTCATTTCAAATAATATGCTGTTGGCAGAAATTTTTATTCCAATATATTTGCTTATTTTAATTCTTTATCAAAATTATTCTAAAAATGTATAAACACCCTGTGTACTTTAAAGTAATGTTTCTGCAGTTTCACAGCTATGCATCTCTTAGACTTTCCAAGTCTGAAAACAAGTTATCCATTTCTCCTAAGGTTATGTCCAGAGTTTAACTCAGCTGGAGCCTGGCTCTACTACTACTCATGTTGAGTGAAATTGTAATTCCAACCTGAGTCCCAAATGAATTGAATCTGAGTATTTAATTTATTATTTAACTATTTGCTATTTAACTAACACAATTTCATTATATTATGCTACATTGCTAGAAAATAAGAATTGCTAATTTAAATGCTAGAAAATAAGAATTGTTAAATATGCTAATTTTCAAACAATGAAAAAAATCATTCATGAAAACATGATGGAAGCATATTCAGAAATTCAAATTAGTTATAATAATATTGAAAGGGATCTGGTTTGAAAGAAGCAGATGACAGTTATGACTATTATATTATTTAATTACATCTGATATCGCTATTGTTATATGTTACTGAAATAGCAAGAGAGATAGTTATTGATAAATGAGTGCCAATATTTGATAAACATAAATTAATCTGTCAATGTTGAATTTTAATTTTTGTTGTTGTTGAAAAGTGAATTTAACTTTGCTTATATGTTCAAAAATATATTTACAGATTTTAGTGCTTTCATTCTTTTTAATTTCATACTAACATTTAAAAAAATATAAATTGAAAATTTGACAACTAACTAGAAGAATTACACTATTTCATGCATATTTTAATATTCAAAAAACATTATTTGAATTAATAATGCAGTTACAAAAATTATTAAACTTCATAAATAAGGGATTATCTCAATACTACTGTGGACTTCAGGAAAACATTCACTTTAACTACAATTACAGGCACTCGATTCTGTGGTAAAAAATATATTTACGAGTGCCACTTGGCGAAAACTGGTGATTTTTGGTGGTACATGGATAGCGAGTTTGTGCAGTTCTTAAATTTGTTACTTGGCTTTATGTAGCGCCCTACACGAAGACAAAATAACAAGTAAAAGAATTGCACGAACTCGATATCTACGTACACATCAACCTATTTTCACTTAAAAAAAATCAGAGAATTGTACAAAGTTGGCATTGCACACTCCCTTGACTTTAGCCATGTACACATTGAACTATTTTCACTTAAAAACATCAGAAAATTGCACAAACTTGGCATTGCGCACTCCCATGTACACATCGATCTATTTTCACTTAAGTCAAAGGGGCACCCAATTCTACAGTAGAGCCAAACAAAAAATACATAATCTCAATAAACTACATTTTAAATGAAATAATAAAATAACATAAAAAAGGAAATTCATCTTATGCATCTAAGCACTACACAAAGGAAATATTCCCTTACCTTATTTAGAAATTTGAGTCCCTCAAACTGTGGAACATAAAATTCCTTAACAGCATCCAAAAACTTCCTAAAACGATCTGAACTAGAATCCTTATATCGGCGTTGCCACATAAATTTACAAAAATAAGAGTAAAAAATATCCTCCGTAGGGTGATATTCTTCGACGTTCAACCACACGCATTTCCTTCCTACAAACAGTACACTTATAATGGCTACTAAGTAAACCTTTCATTTACACACCAGTCAATTAATGTACTTTTCCCCTTTTGTTCCAAATTGTACAGAAATTCAAATTAATCTTACAACATTCAGCCATTCTACCGTCTAAACCACGAAACAAGCAATGTACCTTCCTAACAAACACACACCACAAGCTCTTACAAATCTCTTTCCCCGTCATTCAAAAATTACAGCAACACGCAATCGATTATGCCATAATAGGGTTTCCATAACATTCAACTACTCAGGTTACCATAAATGAAACAACAACTTGGCGATAAATGAAACAACTTCACGATAATACAAGGGGCAGCCTTCAATCTACTCTAACCGATTCTGTTTTTTTATTGAAGGTCTGAGCATGATTGATTCTGAAGGAATATGAGTAGTGGTTAACTTTCTTTGAGGAATTAAAAAGATTTCTACCATTATTAAAAATATTTATTAAAATTAGATAAGTTCCATGTTTTTATTCTCATTTTTTTTTCTATTTTGAGATACAACAATTGTTTATCTTACAATGCTTAATGAGATAGTCATTATATATTTTTTTAAAGGACAGTATACCTTTTTGTACGTGATATTTATTAGTTGCTACATTTTCTTTGAAAATCTTCAGTACTCCCCCCCCCAATGGCTAGACACTTTCTCATCAAGAATAGCTGAACCCATTGGTCTTTAAGCCTACTCATCACCTAGAATGTTGTCTAGATCTGTGAATTCCAAATGTTTTTATCAGGTACCCATAAGATGAAAATAATTAAGGGTTAGAGTAGAGAGAAGGGTACCCCAGTAATTACGTATTAATGCCACCGCAGCTGCAGATCTGACGGTTTTTAACTACCGCCAATCTACACCTAAACTTTTTGCGACAAATCCTAAATTAAAACACTTTATATAAAGTCAAAACACTTTATTTAAAATTACAGTAGTCAATTGGATTTCGGTGGAAAATGGGCCCATATACAGTTTAACATAGATTCAAAAACTGTGTCTATTTTCTTTGACCTGATGCTGTCGCCATATGAACTCTGCTAAATAAGATTCTAAATTATGTCTCGCTGTCCTCTTATGTCTCTTGTTCTTCCATTTAGCACTGCCCCACATTCTCTCAACTGTTTGTGTATGAACTCCTGTATCAGGATCAATAAAATTGTATTTATGATTAACTTTAGCATGTAGGAATCCTTCTTTTTCTATTCTATTTGTTTAGTAACCTTTCCAACAGTCAGAATAAATTGTGCCACCATCTGCAATGATTTCAATAATTTAATTAAGAAAGGTAGAATGAGGTTCTATTAGGAACAGTGACAACAAACGAATCTTTTGTTTCTCAAAATATACCACCAAACATCCACTGTTCGGGTAATACACAACCACAATTATTTTTACATTTAGTAAACAAACTTTCATCAATTTCCACAATGAAATCTGGTCACCTACCTTCTTCTTTGGTTTATTCTCCATATCCAAGACACATAATTCGAGCATGCAATGGTTCCAATCTGTAACAGTTTTATCCGATAAATCAAGTTGCTTTTCACAAAACTTAATCGATGTCAACTCCTCGCACCAGCAGTATATGAATCTCAAAGCTGAACAAAATGGAATTCTGCTACCTTCAAACCAGATGTCTTTTCTAAGTCTCCTTGCTGATCACACTGTCTTAAATTACATTTTCTAAACGTACGTTTACCAAAATAAAGTTTCATATCATGTGAATTGGTACATTTTCGTTTTTTTTTGGTAAAATATTTCGCTCCTAAAAAAATAAAATTGCATCTTCTTCTGTGTTTGGCAAATCCCAAAGATGTATTTTTGTAGCACTAAAAAATGACATCAAAAATCAGCAAACAACAAGGCAAAAAGGAATCCAAAAGATAACTGCATGCGAACAACAGGATTGCTCTTTATTAGTGCATCAGCACAACTTCTGATGCGGTAGCTTTAATATGTAAGTGCAGTGGCGTTAATACGTAAGTACCGGTACCCCTTGTATTACCTCGAAGTTGTTTCATTTATCACCAATGTTGTTTTCTTTATGGTATTCTGAATAGTTGAATGTTATGAAAATCGTATTATGATGTAACAAGGTTGCATGACTGTGGTAAATTCATAAGGACTTGTGGTTAGGAAGTACATTGCTTGTTTTGTTGTTTAGATGGTAAAATGGCTGAATGTGGTAAAATTAATTTGAAGTTTCTGTACGATTTGAAAAGAAAAGGGGAAAGAGCATTACTTGACTGGTGTGTAAATGAAGGTTTACTTGGTAGCCATTATTAGGTGTCCTGTTTATAAGAAGGAAATGCTTATGGTTGAACGTCGGAAATGCATACAGTCGAATGTCGCTACGGAGGTTATTTTTGACTCATTTTGTGAATTTATGTGGCGATGCCAGTATACAGATAATTTTAGGAAGTTTTTGGATGCTGTTAAGAAATTTTGTTTGACTAAAGACGTGTTAATTCATAAATAAGGTAAGTGAATAGTTCCTTTGTGTAGTGCTAAGACGAATTTCCTTTTTTTTTATGTTATTTCATTGTTTGATTTAAAATGCAGTTTATTGAAATTATATTTTTTTGTTGGCTGCTCCTTTGACTTTTAAGTGAATATAGTTAGATGTGTACATGGACAAAGTCAAAGTAGTGACAAAAGCCTAGTTCATGTAATTCTCCGATTTTTTCTTTTAAGTGCAAATAGGTCGATGTATGCATGGATAAATTCAAGGGAGTGCGCATTGTCATTTTTGTGCATTTCTGAGATTTTTTTATACTTTTACTATAATTAAGTTGCATCCCATAAAATCCCAGAAATGCACTTTTAAAAAATGTAATGTAGTATAACATAAATACAATATATGTGTGTGGACACAGTGACTAATGAGAAAACCTCGCACTCACATGATACAGGATCACACACTCGCATGTGACTGTGAACCTACTTCTTTGGTATACCCCTAAGTACCACTCTGCATAATCCCTGGGGTACATGTACCTCACTTTGGAGACCCCTAGCTGAGATGACCCCATGGGAAGTGGACCAATATTACCCTTGAGAGAAGAGGGGAAAAACACATAAAAACAACCAAACCTTATATGGAAGTCAAACTCTTCTCCTTGATTATAAATCAATGTCAACCTCTACTAATCATCATACCACTCAGGAAAATAATATTCAGCACTACAGTCATTTAAAAGTTCATATAACACTTTTTTTACAGATGTCGCAGATAGTCAATGCTTAAAATACACAATATGTAAGACTTTTACTTAAGTTTTACAAAACATGGCATTAAAAGCATAACTTACCCATTAAACTTCTTATTTGCAGCAGCAATGGTCCACATTCTTTAGAACTTCATTCCATCAACTAATCCATATGACACTGTGCTAAAAAATTAATCCTTTAAGAAGATATATTTCATCCCTTTTCTTTTTTTTTAAATTTTCTCAAGACTCAAGTATATTTTCTTCTAATACCTTCACTGAAATACTTATTTTTAACTATATAAATGAAAGTAAGTGTACTCAAATCTATTTTGATGAAAATGAAAATAATTATAAGCTGTTACTTCTCCAGAGTATAGTATTACCTTCAGCAGTAAGCACTATTAAAAGTTTTTATTTCAACATCAGTGATCATTGTAAGTCAATAAAACTTCATAATAGTTCAATATCTTAAAATATCAAAGATTAATATATTGCGACCATGTGTCTGTAAAATAACTGTCTAAGCAAAAGTACAGTAAATTTATTTGCTTATAACTAACTCAGTTTAAGTATGAAAACTTTGTACCATTCAGGACGCGTGTATCGTTAAGAGACTGCAATTTTAGCCTCAATGAATTAAGATCATGCTTCAAATAGACATGCCGCACACATAAATATTGCTACTCAACGTTGTCTTACTGTTGGCATGGTAACGGCTAGTTCGTGACGCTTCCATGCGCTAAAGCAAAGAATAAAAATCTGAATACTTCACTTCAGTTGCAAGGAAATTTGAGAATTTTTTTTTTTTTTTTTTTTTAACAACCTCAGCCTAAAACCCCGGCACTAACAGAAGAAAATTTCCCCAGTTCTAAAACGACTATTGATCCAGTGCAGAAAAATATCTCTCAAGCTACGTACAGGGAAAAAAATCAAAGGAAAAATTACTCCACCTCCGAAAGACTTAAACGATGCAATAACCTGCTGGCTAAAAAGATGAAAATATCAACGTATTCCTTACATCTACTATCCCCATTCATCGGGAAAATTAAAACTGCGAAACATTTGTCTGAAAAGTTACAAACAGGTTTCCAAACAGCCATGCTACTCATCCAATTCGCCAAAAGCAGAGAACTAGGAAAGTTAAGCAGCGATTCACAATAGAGCCAATAAGTCAGCGGATAGAGCGAAGCAGCAAACTTTTTGGGACTCCCAGATCGTGAGTTCAGACCTCGGCCCGGCTCACTTCTACAGATTAATTACATCTTTTTTTTTTTTTTTCTTACAGGGCAGCAGCAGTCTGACTGCTTTTACACCTTGGCATTCTTATCCGGAGTAGCTTCGTTAATATATGCGAAGACCTTCTACGCGTCATAGAGAACTTTTAATTCTCACTCAACATCCCATTACGTTATGTTAGGAAAGTTATGCTGTTTCTCTACGCGTTTACACACAGGATGTGGCTTCCAGTCCAGGCGCCTTTTTCAAAGTGTGCCTAGCACCTGAGTCTTCAGTTGCAAGATCTTAAAATTTCCCACCAAGCATTTAAAAATAAATTAAAACTACGTGTAAAATAAATAATTTTCATAAAAAAAGAATTGTTTGTTTTAATAGCATCATAAGAAAATAGCATAAAACAACGATCAATTTTTAAGAGATGCTGAATTAAACAAAATATGATAAGATCTAAACTAGACAGTTATGTGTATCAATTAAACATCCAAGACGTGTCTAGACATCCTTGATCTAAATGAACATCAAATGGATTGCCATAAGACTGCCATTTCATAAAATCCTAATCGTTAACATTCCAGACGTTGTTCCTCCCAAAGATTTCCCAAACTTCTCTCTCATCCCAAAGACCATCCAATTCAAAGAGGTTAGAAGAGAAGGAGGGAAGGTTCAACTCAAACAGTGAATCCTCGGCGGCCATGTTCCTGCAACTGCTGTGACTCGTGCAAGGAAGTCTGTCATTACAATATTTTTTTTAAGTTCTGAAGCATGAGATCTTGTGTTGCATATAGATGCACGAATAGACTTTCTAAAAAAATTCCTGGAATTACTTTTTACGCATAAGTATTGATTCTCTTTTTATGTCATTTGATAAATATGTTGAAAAATATCATGTTATTTTCTTCCCAGATGCAGAAAGAAAGGACTTTTCAAAATATGTCAAATACGTTTTAATGTTTCTGTTTATAAGTGGTATCTTTGTTCCTTGACATGCGATGATATATACTAGGATTTAAACAATATAATTCGAAAGTTTTAGGTATTTCGTTTTATAATTTTCTTGAAAAGTAAGAAATCAATTGTTAATAGTTTTATGAATTGTAAAGGTGTTAATTAAAGAAATATTTATCTTTATTTATTAATTGTTATTCATTTTTAAGTTTTGTGAACTGTTATGAATATAATTTGTGCATTTGATCAAGATAAACTTTTCTGTCGTTTAAAATTGTTTCCATAAACTTACGAATTTCTAGGAAGTATAGCGGTAAAAGTAAGTAAAATATTTACATAATTGAACATGTGGAAAGACGTATCTAAAAATTTATATAGGTATACTTCTGTAATCCATCTTAACTCAAGGCAATTTCTTTGAGATTCATATATATGAAACAAGCATAAACTGAAATCATTAAATTCACATAAATCTGTTTTGCTGTATTAATATTTATTTTCTTGTTGTTACAAGGTTGCTGGTTCCGAAAGGGATCTATTTAAAACTTTCATTAAAAAAAAATTCAACCTGGACTATTTTTGATTCTTTAATAAATTCTTTAATTAAATTATTTTATTCTTTTAATAAATTATTATAATATTTATAATAAATCAGAAACATAACATTTTAAAGGAAAAATTGGAAAGTACACCCAACAGGTAGCTAATAATCCTTATTATTAGCTACCTGTTGGGTGTACAACCTGTTGCTACCTGTTGGGTCTACATCCATAAACATCATTTTTAAAGGCTTTAATGTTATATACATGCATTTAGATTTCGAACTATTTGTTAAAAATTTTCTGTACTTAGTAAATTATAGATATCATCTTTGTTACTTTAAAACAAAAAGGTTAACAATAGAAAGACATTTCATCATAAATTTAACATATTTTTACTAGAAAATACAAGCACGGAACAGCTTAGAAACACGTATATTTCACTGCCGTAATGCAATGTTTTGATTTTATAAACATGACCGCCGCTTGTTAGGTAGGGTTTTGTAAGGTTTATCCTAATTTCTCTAACAGTTAATTTTTAGTTAAAAGTTACTTTCCTGTCCTCTGTGAATTTCAGCTTACAGCTTCCCGCCAGAACGTGTTTTCAGAATCGCGGTCAAATGCAAATACGGAGAAGTATTTAACTATGAAGTTCTACTGACTTCGTGAGAGAGCCAGAGATTCTATGCAGCGCGCGTTAAGCCTTTTGGCTATACTCTCTCTAAAGCTATTATTACGCTCGTCCGTACTTTAGGTCCTTGATAGCTTTGCCGTTAGTTAGCGTTAAGGGGCCAACTTTGTTAGAATTTGTATAGCTTCGGCTATATCTTTGTAGCTTAAAATTAGTTTAGCTTAATTCTTAGTTTCTTAAGTTCAATACCAAGTGTCGAGGCTTTATAAATAAAGTTCAATCCCAAGTGTCGACTTTATAAACTCCAAGACGGAGTTTCGTTAAAATTTAATTTTGGAATAATAAAGGGTATTTAACCCTTCTCGAGTATCTGTTCTCTGTCTACTGAACTACAGCGATTATTTGCAAATCAGTTCTTAAGGATCTTCAACTTTAGCTGTAACATAAGAGATAGAAATCTTACAGTTTCATTCTCAGATAGTGCAAGAAACTGCAAACTCTCCCTCCTTTTATTCTAACCTCTTTGATCCAATTACATAGACACGAGAAACAGTATAAAGGAAATGTTTCGCGATGTCATTTTTTCAACCGATACTTACTTTCTTTTCATGGAAATCGTGTCCATAGCGCAAAAACACATATACAGCACGAATCGATACGTTTACAAAACACATTAAATAGAAGGCACGCATAAAAGAAAATAATTTTTATACTTTTCTTTCTAGTCTGTTCTGTTACTGTGTTATTAAAAATTACAATCTTAATGAAAAAAAACTTGAATTATTCGACAGCAACTAGATCGGAATAACAATATTACCTTATGGCTCCTTAATTCAACTACTAAAATGACGCTCATGAATGTTCTCAGATGTATGTTTCTCTACCTAATATACTAATTAGACAGTAGGCAAATGGAGCTCGTGGGCTTTTTTTTTTCGTATTCAAATAACCTAACCTAATTAGACAAGTGCTATAGCAGGATATCAGTGAAGTTCATAACCGGACGATATGCACTCTCCTGCTCTCTCTATAGCCGAGAATAAGCGCCACTGTATTGTCCGTCACTGTAATCCAGCTTTCAGGCTTAAACTCAATCATAAGACTTATTGTTACATATGCTTCCCCCTCCTGGGCCAACGCCAGCGATAAGAAAATTAAAAAACTTCAGGCTCTCCAAAACAAAGCTTCAAGGATCATCACAAACGCTTCCTATTTCATTCGCAATAGAAGCCTGCATTCAGATCTGACTTTGGAATCCATTAAAAATTCATCACCTGGATAAATGGAAATTTCTTCGATAGATCAATAAGGAACAACCCCACAAACTTTGCTGACATCCCGACCTATGAGATTCTGGAGGAGGATGTACTTATTAGACGTTATGCTACTCATTTGTTTCACTCAAATCCATGTGACCACGATAACCAATGACAACACAATACTTCTATGCGCTGACATTTTTCTGTAGATAATTGCGTTTCTTCAAATTTACGACTCTGAAAGACTCTTTCTCGTTTCCATCATATGGAACGCAATTTTCTGTGCATTTTGAGTGGTTGTTGTACATAGTTTACAAATAAAACCACATCTCAGGATTCGTCGAAGGAACTCACCTGACTAGTTCCCAAGCCTCAGGTCTACTTTCAAGAGACAAAGTGCTCAAAACTTCTTCCACAACAAATGTACCGCTAGGGGATATATTTAACTGCGGATTTCACAAAGATCAGACACTAAATGGGAATCTCTAAGGTACTGGTAAGACCAGGGGAAAATATCTACTGCTGTAAGCCAGTATACCGACGAAAGTATCAAAGTATCACTGTGATAAATTAAAAGATTGCACAGCAGGTTTCTCATTCGGAAATCGTATTTGAAAGTTGTTTGGTTGTGTGAAGGTCGTGTTATGCCTCGCGTAAAAAAGAAAAACTTTTACTATGAAGTTTCGGTAGTCGACCGTGGCAGGATCGGGGGAGGGGCAACCGCAGCTCCGGTTTACTATTCCGAGACACTGCCGCTCGTGTTGGTTAGGATACCATGCCTATCAGGCGAATATGGAATCAATGGGTCCAGGAAGGCCATTCTGAACGTCATGCAGGATCTCAGCGGCCATAGACCTCTAACATTCGAGAAGATAAACATGTCCTTTCCGGGATATTACAACCACGTCACTTACCCTGAGCTAGGAACTTGGCTCATGCGTAGGACAAATGTTCTCATGAGCAGTTCGACGACGACTGCAGCACCGCGGATTCTCAGCACGATGACCATCGTTGCGGCTTCCCTTGACGTGTTTTCGCTCTATTGATTTATTCTAGCTATCTAAGTGTAAAAGTTACCTCCCGGAACGCAATAGGCGCCATTCTTACTACTAAGGCCTTCTTTACATTTTGCATCTATGACTCAGAAACGCATTTTTCACATACAACTTTGTTTCAGTTCCAACTTATCTATTGCTAGTACCAGCTGAATGTTTCAAGACCATATTATTTTTTGTAAGAGCTACTTTCAAATGAATGTTTCAGTGTTGGTAAGTTGTCTGTCTAAAACTTTTCAGTTGAAAAGTTTTATGGCGTCTTTTTCAAAATTTCTATTTTAACAAACGTGATAGTTTGGCGGACATAAGTCGAGCTGTTATTATTTGCCGACAAAGACTTTTTTTCTGCTACCGTTGATCTGTAACATTCATTTTATCTGAATATATATAACGATCATACAAGAAAAAAAAAGTATTTTGGCATAATAAAATAAGTGCTGGTGAGTCGTTTTTTTAACGTTAACTACTTTTTTATAATGTGTTTTCTTAGGAATCAAAACATATTGGAAAATGGACGCTGACAACAAAATGACCCATTGATTCCATATTCGCCTGACAGGCATGGTATCCTAACCAACACGAGCGGCAGTGTCTCGGAATAGTAAACCGGAGCTGCGGTTGCCCCTCCCCCGATCCTGCCGCGGTCGACTACCGAAACTTCATAGTAAAAGTTTTTCTTTCTTACGCGAGGCATAACACGACCTTCACACAACCAAACAACTTTCAAATACGATTTCCGAATGAGAAACCTGCTGTGCAATCTTTTAATTTATCACAGTGATACTTTGATACTTTCGTCGGTATACTGGCTTACAGCAGTAGATATTTTCCCCTGGTCTTACCAGTACCTTAGAGATTCC